GCCTCTCCCCGTTTCCCCACCTTCCCACAGGCTGGCAATCTTTTAAAATTGTAGATTGGATCTGGTCACGCCTCTGTCTAAAAGTGCCTCAGGATCAAGTCCCAACTTGTGGGGGGCCTGCTGTGGGCTCTGACCCCTCAGCCCTCTGCCTCCTGCACCCACACCCTTCCTCTGCCCCAACCTCCTTAGGAGACCACCCCCAGAACCTGGAGGCATCATGCTGCAGCCCTCTGACCCTGCCATCTTCACTTCACCCAGTGCCACCTCCTCCAGGAAGCCTTCCAGAGAACCCCTGCAGAGCACTTTCACCTTCCTGCTTTCCACTGGTCGCATTTATAAAAGTTGCTCCTGGAACCTCACAGCTGTTTTTACGCTCCCCTGCTGCAGGGGTCCTGCGTGCCCTGGCTGAGCCCCCACGGGACTGTGTTGACTCGTGTTAGACACTCACTAGGCTGAACTTTGCCCACCGGTGGTGCAGCCGACCCCATCTCTCTCCCTTACCTCCTGGCTCGCCCTTTCCTGTGATCCTGGTCCCTGACTTCTGTTCTGTTAAGGCTTCATATCCCCATGAGCCCCCCTGTGCTTCCAGCCCTGAAGTCACTGTGCAATGCACCACACAGCTGTTTTGTGCTCTCACTTAAGTGGATGCACCTTTTCAGGCCTTCCAAAGCTTAGCGGTGTAAGGGTGTGGCCTAATACCTAATTCCTCCCTGCCCCTCCCCAGCCCGGCTCCTGGGTCTCCCACTGGTACAGGATGCAGCAGAAGCTTCTGCCCCAGGTGGGCTTCACAGGTTTGCTCCAGCCGGCCCAGCCGGTGCTCACCGGGCGGGTGCTGCTGTGGTGCTCTGCCCGCCCCCCATCTGGGAGCTCCTGGGTTCTGCTTTCATTCCGCACTGGGCCCCACACGTCACACAGCCGGCTGTGCCCCGCAGGGCACGTGAGGGCCCTGCCCACCGGGGGCTGGCGCCTGGCGGCGAGCTCTGCCGGTCACCTGTCATCATTTAAGCTCTGCTCAACCGCAGCCGCAGCCGATAATTCACTCTTGTGTTTTCTCAGCTTCACTGACTGAGGGCTGTGGTCAGAGCATTGATCAACGGCTTAAAGCCCTCCCGCAGCTGCCCCTTGCCTCGGGCCGCCCACACCTGGCCCATCTTCAGAGGTTCTGCGAGCCGGTCCCGGGCCAGGCCGGGGCGGGGCGGGGTGAGTCTGCAGGCCGAGCAAGCCCTGGGACTCTGGTGCCCCCGCCTCGGCCTGTGGGCGGAGCAGAGCTCGGGACCTGCCTTCCTGGGGCATAAAACCCAGCCTCTCCCGACCCCCCACGCCCGGCTCAGGCCACTCCCCTTCCAGCTTCGTCCTGTGCGCCTTACCCCGGGGGCCCCCTTACCCGGTGAGTCCCCCTTACCCGGTAAGTCCCCCTTACCCGGGGGCCCCCTTACCCGGTGAGTCCCCATTACCCACGGGCCCCTTACCCGGTGGCCCCCTTACCCGGTGAGTCCCCCTTACCCAGTGAGTCCCCCTTACCCGGGGGCCCCCTTACCCGGTGAGTCCCCCTTACCCGGTGAGTCCCCCTTACCCGGTGGGTCCCCTTACCCGGTGGGTCCCCTTACTCGGGGGCCCCCTAACCCTGTACCACGTGTCCCGGGAAGCGTCACCAGCCGCCCGCGTGGTTGCTGCCGTCGATGGCCCTCTGGGCCCATGTCAGGCTGCAGGGCGGCTTCCTCCCCTCCCCGCCCCCCAGGGCCCAGCTCCTGAAGGCGCTCAGCTCTTGGCTTTGTCGGTGCTGGTGATGACCCCGCTCGCCATGAGCACCCCACCACCCGTGGCGCCCGAGGCCTGGAGGTGGCCTGTGCCCCGCGGTGGTGCCCATGGCTGCCCTCGACCCTCTCTGCCCCCCGGCAAGCCGCACGCCTTTCCGGCCCTGGGCTCGTGCGGCCCCGGAGACCTGCTCACTCCGGTTCTGAGGGGACAGACTGCCTAGGAGGCCGCCCCCAGGAGCTGGCCGCACAAGGGCCGCTCTGGAAGTGGCGCTTGCGGTGAAAAGGGGGCGCCGTAAACTCCGCTTCTCTGCGCGCCCAGAGCTCGCGCCCTCGGCCCCTCCCCGGCTGGAGACAGCAGCGCTGGCGCCTGACCCTCCACGCCAACCCTGCCACGCGGCGAGCCGCTCTACATTGCTCCCCGCCGACCCCCGAGTGTTGGGTGCCCCGGCCCCCCCTTCTCTGACTCTGGTGCTCTGCAGGCCTCGCTCGCATCAGTGGCTACACCTGCCCCGTAAAAGACCTCCCAGGCCTGAGGCAGGGCTTCCTGAGCACCTGTGTGCCACGGCCCCTCCCCCCAGCAATCAGGCTGTGCCCTTCTGATCGCCATCAGCTCCTGGACTCACCTGGCCGTAGCACCTCAGATGCTGCCCGTGCTGCTGGCCTTTCCAGGGCCAGGGCAAGAGGCCAGGCCAGGGCCGGTCAGGCCCGCCTGGGGATTTGGCCCTGCTAGTGTGTCATGCCCAGCGGGCACAGAGTCCGCTGCCCCCCACCCCCCGCCCCCCTCGGAGCACCTTGGATGTGCCCACAGGCTTGGGAAATCCTTCCCTTAGGTTGCCCTCCACGGGCTGGGAAAAGGTGGCCGCTGAGGCCTGGAAACCTCGGACTCCTCGGGACAGACTGGAGGCCGGGGGAGGGGCCCTTGGTGGTGGCCGACGGTGGCCCACGGTGGCCGAGCTGCCTGAGCCTTGGGGACGGCCCGGGCCCCTGAACGCCTTTCTCTCCTGTCTCTCTCAGGCACATCTCCCTTACGCTCCCCGCTACCTTCCGAGGCCGGAGCAGCACCCGCGCGGACTACGAGTACCAGCATTCCAACCTGTACGCGATATCAGGTACGCGAGCCCCCCGGCACGGCGCCCCAACCCTCGCTCCCTGGCCCCCCGCCTGCCCCCCACTTCTCCCAGCCGGGGGTCTGGTGCCACCGCAGCACTCCGGGAAGGGCAACTCCGGGAAGGGCCCGTGACTCGGTGTGTTTTGAAACTAATGATGAAAAACTGTGTGTGGATTTCACAAGCGTAAAGGGAGGCTTCCAGAGAATAGTCTCGGGATTGTTCACCTGCCAGACACCCCGGGCAGGCTTCCCGAGGGCCGCGGGGCCGCCCGCCGCGTCCGGCTCTGTCCTCACCTCTCATTTCTCAAAGCCCCGTCTGTGGCCAGGAGGTACCCCGACGGCCCCCCACATGGTCCCCGTTGAATGCGTCTGTGCTTTCCGAGCTCGGCCTTGAAATTGATAGCATTGCCTGGGCAGGAACTTCATCAGTCCTGGTTTTCCTGCTCACTTTTTCCCAGGGAGGGGAAACCTTACAAGCCTTATTAAAGAATTGAGATTCATTAGGTGCCTGGCAGTGCAGGTGACTTTCGCTAAGAGCCGAGGAAACCCACAAGCTCGCCCCTGATTATTCCAGACCTCCAGTCAGGGGTGTCTGTGCGTGAGGGGAAGTGGCAAATCGGTGCCACTTACCAGCACACCCTCTTAACGCTGAGTGACACTTCGAACACGGGAACATGGCATTCATTCATGTACCATAATGGATCGGTTATTTCAAAGGTAATCTTTTTTTCTAAAAATTGCAACTTCGGGTTACTAAATAGATGAAATAGAACAATGGCATAATTCGTGTCAGTATTAGTTTCTCGTGCTGTGATCACGCCCTGATAGGCGTAGAAGTATAAGCAAAAGCCAGTCGCGCTGTTTCCGGTGGCACTCCTGGGGGGGACGCCAGGGCGGGGTACCGCAGCCCCGCCCCCGCAGCCCTGCCCCGCCCAGAGCTGGGTCCCAGGGGTGGCTGGAGCATGCTCTCTCCAAACCGCACCCCAGGGGAGCGCCTCTTCTGTGCCAGGGCTGTTTTAGCAGAGCTGAGCATACCCCGTGTGGAAAGGTGACCTATTGTGTAGAAACACTGAACATTTCCCCAGATGCTTAGGCCAAGTGGCGCAAAACAGGTTTGTGGGATTCAGCAGGGCGGCCCTCTCCAGAGGCACATTAGGAAGACGCCATCAAAGCGGAGGACTTTTCCCTCCAGCTTGGAAATCTTTTCATCCAGCGCTGGCTCCCCCCTCCCCGGGGCGCTTGATGGCTTCCCCAGCTGTGGGCCTTCTGCAGGAGAGGCCCTCGGGCAGCGTCTGCTGGCGTTGGTGGAGCATTCCCCACGAGGCCCCTGGACCACTGCTTCCTCGCCCTGCGGCTTTGATGAGGTGTTGTCTGGGCTCATTTCAGCTGTTGCTGAGCAGGCCTGAGGTAACAGCCTCAAGACACAGGGGAAGCCGTTCAGAAACTTCCTGTTACATTTATGTAAGCAGCAGTCAAGTGGAGTTCATCTTCCAAACGGGCGATTGAGGCTGCAGCCCGCAGCAGCAGGCTGCTCGGGCCTCCTGGCACCAAATTGCTCCACGAGCGTCCAGGGCTGCTTTGTTGTGATGCTGCCAGGAAGACCCTGCAGGCCCGGCTGGCTCCGCGGCCTGCAAGCTCAGCAGTGGGCAACCGAGGCGCGGCTGGGAATCCTGCCCGCCCGCCTGCCGGTGAGCCATTCTGGCTGGAGGGGAGCAGAGTCCACCCCTCGCCCGGCCTCCACGTACCAGCAGCCTCTGGCAATGGTGGCAAATCTCAGTTTGGCATTGTGAGGTTAAAGCTTCAGTGGTTTGTTCCAAAAACAGTTGGGGCAAATTGCACCCTGGGCCCCAGCCCAGTGCCCGGCACCCCGTAGCTGGAGCGCTGTGGTGATGAGAGGGATCCCCAGCCCTGCGCCTCGCACACGGGCTCCAGTAATGCGCGCCTGCACACAGCCGCAACCCTGGGCACGCGCCTGCCCGCTCGGCCACCCCTGTGCTCGTCCACGCCGCCCCGGGCTGCAGACCCCTCAGAGGCGTGTGTTTCCAAATGGGGTGATGAGGACTTGGATGACCAGCCCTCTGTAATTCTGTACGCATGGCTGTTACAGTAAGGTTTATTTTTAAGTGTTTTCCTATGTCCCTTCCCCTGGCTCTTTCACTGAGCCAGCTCTCTGCCACGTCCGCAGAGAGCGCTGCTCTCAGTCCCTGGAGAACCAGTGATGCTGGTGCAACTCTGTCCAGGGCCCATGGGGCCGGGGGGGGACATTCACCCCGGGGCTGCCTTGCCTAGGAATGCGCTCTATGGGGGGGGCACACGCGCCCGCACATTCCCCGCCAGGACGTGCCCTGCGCTGGGGCCACCACCTCCCACCAGCCTGTGCCATCTCGGAGGCTCAGCGGGCGCTGTGCTTGCAGGTGCACCTGGCCCTGGGGACTGGGAACCGGGCCGCCATCCGCCGCCACTGTCCACTGCTCTGCGCAGCTGGACACTGCTCTGCCTCTGGCACAGGGGTGGGGCGGGGAGGGGAAAGGCCCCTGGCTCTGGGCCCTGCACCCTCAGGGCTGTATGGTGAGAAGCACCGCCGCCGGCACCTTCCCTCTCCCAGGCATTTCTTCTGGAAAATACTTAACAGATGTGCAGAAAGATTTTTCCACAAGGATGGGCACTTGCTGCTTTTTCAAAAACACTGCAAAACGAGGGGTCGGAGAGGGAGTGACTTGCCTGAATGTCCAGGCCCAAAGCTAAAGTGTAGGGGTGCAACAGCCTTTTCAAGATCAAGAAATCGTTTAGATAAAAGATGTGTGTGCAAGTAAAGTGAAAAACCAAAACCATGCTAGGCCAGAACGTGCACGCCGATTTCATGTAAACTCCACAGCTGGAGGCGGGGAGCCCACGCCAGGGCCGCAGGGGCTTCCGCCCGACTTCTCACTAATTTCTTTCGCTGCTCTGGGGTGACCCCGCTCGCTGTGATCGCCTGTGCTGCTTCTGTCATGAGAACGGTGCGGCCCCGAGTTAACTGGACGTGGCCTGGGGAGCCGTGCTGGCCGCAAGGGCCCCAGCCTGCCAGGTGCTCACTGGCCTCCCTCATATCGTGCTTCCGAGCTCTGGAAATCACCTCAGGCCACAGAGCAACTGTTGTCTTAGTGTCTCCTTCTGGGGATGTGATTTTCCCCGTGGTCCAGCCCCTAAGCCTTCTGTCCGAGGAGGCCACTCGCCACAGTCCTCACAGCTCTCCGGCAGGTGTGCGCCCTGGTCACATGCCCGAGGGCCTGCGAGTGGCTGTCCTTGACTAAGAGACGCCGGCATGATGGTGCCTCTGCCCTGTGTGAGGTGGGGTCGCCAGCCCGGCCCAGACCACGCCCCACCCACGGCCTAGCAAGCTCAGGGTGGTTTTAATATGTTCGAATCACTGAAAAGTATAAAGTGAGTAAGATTTAGTGGTGTGTGAATCACATGAAAGTCAAACTCGAGCGCTCATAAGCCACATTTTCCTGGATAACCACACTGTGCCTATGCACATGGCCGTGACCCGCAGGGCAGGACCCCGCTGGACAGAGACTGCGTGGCCCAGCCAGCTGTCCTCGGAGGTGTGGGTGCCCGTTGTTAGCCATCTTGCTTGAAATGCAGCTTCTAAAAAGCCCTTTTGATGTTGTGTTTGCTTTTGCTAAGTGGTGAGTCACCCTCCCCCACCCCCCGTGACTCCTCGGGGTGCCGGGTGGGAATGTGCCCCCTTTGAGGTGGCTGGGTCTTAGCTCCGGGCCTGGGAGCTCTGTTGATTTCTCTGGCTTCCACCACCCCCACCCCCGAGTTTCCTGGTCAGACCCCCTGTGGCTGCTGGTTTTCTCTGACCACAGCTCACCTCCTGGGCAGTCATGTGCTCCGCGCCTGGCAGAGGTGCCCTGCCTCTCTTGGTTTTTTGGATTTTTCTTTTTAGCTGTATGAAATCTGACCGGTTCCAGAAAGAGAGCAGGCTGCCCCAAACATACAAGTAGACGGCGACAGTGCGCGTGGACAGAGCGGGCTGGGAGAAGCCGCAGCGGGCGAGGCTTCGCGCCACGGGGTCTGGATTTGGTTCTGAGTCAGGCCGGTCCCGGAACAAACAGAGAAGATGGGGAAAAGCCGGCTACGGGCAGCGCCCAGGGCCCCTCCCTGCACGCCTGGCCCTCGGGAGGCCGCAGGGTGCGGGGGCCACAGGGCAGCTCTCTCCAGCGGGCGCGCCCAGGCCAGCGGTGCCAGCGGCTGGGGCTCTTGTCTGCCATCGCGCGCCCGAGGGTTTGGAGTCCCCGGTGCCCGCTGAGATGGGCTCCCGGCCTCCTGCCCGGCCCGAGCGACACACCTGAGCCCAAGGCTGCCTGGACCGGGCGCAGCGCGGCCCACGGGTGCCCGGTGGCTCGTCCTCGCCTGGAAATGGCTCTAGTGTGTCTCGTGGCAGGTTCTACAGAGCAGGGGCCGCCGGAACGGGAAACAGCGCTGGTGCTAGTCTGCGTTTGGTGGCTGTAAACGGATTTATATGTCCGTGTGCAACATTGTTGCCAAAGAAAATTAATTCTTCTCCCTTTTAGAAAATAAAGGACATTGTGTAAAATCATAAAACCAAGCAAATGAACATTCCCATTGGCAGGCAGCCAGACTGGTGGCCCCGAACTCCGCCCAGTGCAGATCCCCGTGGCCCCGCCGCCCTGGGCTGGGAGGGGCCTCCTGGTGGCTCACCTGGCCGGCGGGCCCCCGCACCGCCCCATCATGTCAGGCCGTGGCACTCGCTGCCCACACCGTGACCGGGAGAAAGGGGCACCGGGTTGCACCAGGAGAAAAGCTGTAGGCGGGATGTGGGGGGGTCACCCCTTAGCGTTTTTCTCCTTTTGGGGTTTCCTCATGATCACTGGAAAAGCCATCATCGTCTGTCCTCCACAGCTGTCCCCTCTTAAAGACCAGCCCCATTCAAGGTGTTTGACACCAGGAAGCCTGGGGCTCCATCCGCTCGTCCGTTTTGCTCGGAGAGAG